GGGGGGGGGGCAGGGGAGAGAGATATGAAACCTCCTAGCAAACACCTTCTTTTATTTCAGAAAATAAACTTATGAGTTTAAAACTTAAACATTGGTTATTTTTCCTTTCAGATTATTCAAAAGACTGGATTCAATGCCTGAACAATTATATTTTCCAAGAAACCCTAAAGAAACCCATTAGAGCTTGGACCCACCCCATGAGACTCAAGCTGCTTAAATATGAAGCCAGGCTCTCCCTTGGTCCCCTCTCCTGCCCTTTCCACAGCAACAATGGAAACATCCAGAACAGAGGCAGAATCGGTGTCATTTTTCTGGCTCATCCCTCTTACGTCTCTCCTTCCTCGAGGTTTTCACATCTCCCTGCAACATAGAATCTGTCCGCATTACTAGTAACAGTGACCTGTAGATACTCGCCCAGCTCCTCTTCCAACAATCACTCCCTTCCTCGCATCTCCTCCCAAGGCCTTGCAAATGTCTTCAAAGCTCCTCCAGGAAACCCAAAAGCCTCCACTGGACTCTTCCCAAGTCAGCCTGCTAGACACTCTCCATGACCCATCCCCGGGAGTCGGGTTTCTCCAGTGATAACAGATGGAAGTGTGAAGAATGACCTAAGCGGAGTCATTTTTAAATGGAACCGGAGCAGCCGCTCCAGAGGAACTGCTTGCAGGTCTTGCTCCTTGAACCTTTGGAAGGTTTGAATTGGGCAAAATAACCTTTGGCCTAGGCCAAAGCAACACTGTCTTACAAACAGCAGCTTGCAAAGCTAACAGGAAAGCAGATATCCTAACCACAAGGACTGATGATTATAGACTTTCTGAAGACAGAATCAGTAATCAGCCATGTACAGCTAAAGAATAATTCAGCCTGTTAGCACCAACAGAAATTTCTTCTACTCATGTAATCATTTCCCTTCCTTTTCTCATAAAAACTCCTTGCCTTCAGCCTGTCATCGGGACACAATTTCGGTGTCTTCCCAAATTGCAATTCTTTTATATCCCAAATAAACGCTTATTGCCTCTCATTTGGCTTTTTATTTTTCGGCTAACAGGATTTAACCAGATAGTAAACCAGATCGCCGCAGGTTAACAAAATGCCTTAACCTATTAAGAAGTGTCTACGAAATAGGACTGCTGCTAGGGTTTGGAGCATCGGGGCCAACCTGAGGAGCCTACTTGGAGTCAGCCCTTCAAATGTTCCCACATGGACAGCTGCTGGCCTCACCAGCCCCGCTTCAGGGGATAGGTCGTTATTAAAATGAGATGATCCCATAAGCAGACACGATCTTTCAAAAAGAAGTGCATGGTGGCTCCTTTTCGTTTCACAACACAAGCTCAAGGCATTTTTAAAAATGTATAAAGAACATTTTAAAATACAGGGAGAAAACAAGGGAAAAAAGAAACACTAGCTGTAAGCATTCACTCATATCCTCACACAAGGTTATCTTAAATGCATTAAAATAATAATAATAATGCGCCTTCCCAGTCAACGCGCCGAAGACGCAGCAGTGAATGAAAGCCACGACTCACAGTGCGCATGGAAACGCCGCGTCTCCTGTCTGCCTGCCAGTGCTTTGCTGGGCCGTGCCTCCAGCGAACTTCACCTGTCAAGAGCCAGATAGTAAATATTTTAAACTTTGTGGGCCACATAGGTTTCCATCACATACTCTTGTTTGGTTTACTTTACAACCCTCTGAAAGCCTAAAAAACACTCTAACTTGAGAGCCATTTTCTGGCAGCATTTAGCAACGTTTGACCATTTGTAGGCTCTCGTCACACAGTTCTGCTTTGGAGCATCTTTGGTGCTTAAACAGCGATGCATGACAACCACCTCTGATCCGACAAAATACTGATTAAGTAAAATGCAGAAAATTAGGAAGCTTTTGTTTAAAAGGAAAGTGTCTTTCTAGATAGGTACTAAAAGAGTACAGCTCTGCCTAAATCATTTTATTGGTTTTACACAATTCCAATAGCTCTCCCAGAGTTGTCTGTATTTTCTTTTGGTTTTTATTTTGTTGGTTTTGCTTTAGGGCAGGAGCAGGGAAGTCAGGGGAGATAGAGAATAAAGAATTTGTAAAAATGACTCTATAATTTATATTTTAAAAATTAAAAGGCTAAAATAGATCATTCTAGACAATACCTGTAAGAGGAAGAAATACAACCTCTCAAATAATAAAACACTACAAAGTTACAGTAATTAAGAGTGTATTCTAGGGTAAACAAGAAACAGATCAATAAAATAAAATAACATAAAAACAGACCCTAAGATATATGAAACACGAATACAATATGAAGTAATGACAAAAGTCTGTGGTGGCTTATTCAACAAAACTACTGCTGGGTCAACTGATTATCTATGGAGGGAATCAAATTAGATTTTTTTAATCTCAAAATATACTCCAAAATAAATTCCAAGTAAATTATAAAGGTAAAGTTTTAAAATTGCATTAGAGGAGCTACAAAAAGTATATAGTTAATATACTTATCTTCTTTCTATATGAGGAAAGACTTTCTCAAACTATGGTAGAAATCACACACATGCAAAAGATATAAATAAAGACTTAAAAATTTAAAACAGTAAATTTAAATTAGTAAATTTATTTTTACACAGTAAATGATATATTCTATATCATAAATTATTTAGTAAATTAAATGCTAAATAAAATTAGTAAATTAAACACCTGTAAACATCAAAAAATTATTCAAAAATAAAAGCCAACAACTAATTATGAAAATACTTTCAACAAATATAATGGAGAAAGCATCAATATCCTTAATATATAAAGAGCCCTTATAAACTGTAGGAAATATACCAGACTTCAATAGATAAAAAGTAGACAGTTTTTTTAGGGAGTAAAAAAAGTTAATTTACAGATTTTAAAATGTTCAACCTCACTAAGCACCATTAGTTTTTGGCCATCAAATTAGTCATGTTAGCACACAATGCCAGTTGGCAGTAATGAGTCCTAGGTTCCCACCCACTGCAGGCTGGAATGGAAATTCACTCCGGTAAACAATTTGGCAAGCATTATGCAGCAAGTATCTTTAAAGTGGCCATACTTTTTGACCTACTAATTTCACATTGAGGATCAATCTAAATGAAGCAATCATAAATCTGGACAAAGACGGATGCACTAAGATAAACACACAAAACTGGAAACAATGTAAATGCCTAACACTAGGGAATGAGTAAGTTATGGCATATGAATACTATGAAATATTATACTGCCACTAAAATTAGTCTCATGAATACTTTTTAATGATGGAGAATTTATTATGTATGTGTTGGGATGTCAGATACAATAAAATGCACACACAAACAGACAAATGGAAAAAATATATATATGCCAAAATGGTCAATACTGTTTATCACTAGAAAATGGGATTGATTACAGGTGGTTATTTTATTCTTTATACATTTCTACATTTTTCACAATTAATATATTTTTGTTTCCTAATCAGAAAAAAATATACCTTGAAGACAGCCCTCGACCCCTCCAATAAAAGACAGTAAGAAAGGAAATCCTGATATTCATCAAGCCAAAACTTATTCTAAACCATAATTATAGAGCTGAAAATGACCTCAGGCATCTAAGAGCTTGTACTGCAGATTAAAAATCATAACTATTTTATAAAATTGAGGCATACCCTAAATTTATCAAGGTCTTATCCCAACCTGCAGTCAGCCCCACATTACTAATATTCCTTTGTAAACATCAGCAGATCACTCTGTGTAGGCAAGACACAGGCTAGAGTAAAAACACCAGTATCAATAAAAGGAAAGGGTCTGTGTAAAAACCACGTAAGCAGCAAAGTTGAATTCATTAAAAGGAAAATAATCAATAACCTTGATTTTATATTATTAGAGCAACACACGTTATAATTCATTGCGGCCTGCTCTCACTGCGGCAGGAGGCTGGGAAACGAGACTCACCAGTTACTTGATTCTAATACAATGAACACAGGAAACAATGGGTTGGGATTATTAATGAATCACAGAGGGAGAAATGAATAACACTAGGGAGCATGATGCAACAGTATCCAGGTACAAGTGCCTAAGACACCCTCTAATGAGGACACAAAGAATCAAATCCAAATGCTCAAGTATCCAGTTCATTTTGGCAGAGGATACGCTGGGCAAGAAACAGTGTAGACAGTGGGGTTGGAATCCCAGTGCACTCATCCACAAGCTACCTGCTCCTTAGCAAGGCTCTTAACCTCTCAGAGCATCAGTGTCCTCGGCCGGCCACCAAACATAAACCGTAATTAACCCCGCAGGGTGGGTGCCAGGTCTGAGACAGTAACTACCAGATGCCTGGTGAAAAGCTCCGCATGTCTAACAATGAATGGGGCCCATTACTCTTTTATGAAACTGAGGGCCACAGAGGCCCACCGTGCATCCCCGGACGCTGTGGCCACGGCTTTTCCCTTTCCTGGCCGACTTGCAGGCACGGGGGGAAAAGCCTTGCTTGGAGCTGGGGGGGCTGAGACAGGGAGCAAGCGAGTGATACAGCAGGAACCCTGAGTGATTATGGAAACCCAGGCCATCAGTGCCCACGGGCTCCCCCAGGCAGCTGGCCTGGGCCCTGCTCCACCGCACCTCAACCTAGATTCCAAACAGCCTGGAACAGAACTGAGGACAAAGAGGTGGGGAAAAGCAGCAAAATCATCCTCAGAGAAGGAACCAAATAACTACAGAAGGTGGGGGTGGGAGGGTTAAAATTAGAGAAAATACAGTAAGCCTTATAATCACAAGAATAATAAAATTATTACGAATGAGAAATCAACAATTCTAGAATAAACCTATTGAATTACACTTTCAAAAAGATGTTGAACAAAGATGAAGAAAATTGGCAGTGATGGGAAGAATTAATGAAGACAAAAATCAATATTACTCAGTAGAAAGCCAAGAGAAAAATACTAGAAAAACACAGGAAGTATGGGTAAAATAAGAACGCTGCCTGGTGTCCATCGGGATCCTAAGAGAATCAGACAATGACCTTGCAGAGAAAGAGAGAGACAGACACTTGCAAAGCCCCAGCCATCGCCAGAAGCCGATGAAAGATCTCAGGTGGGATGGCTGATAACTGAAAAGCTAAAGGGCAATTCTAACAACTTGTCAATGGATTAAGGCCTCAGTTTTCAGAGAAGTAATATAATTTGAGGAGCTACTGCAAATCATTAGCAACATTAAAATTGATTGTAATTACATTATGGCCAGTTGAATAATATAATAATGAGCCCTTATTTAGAAAAACACAGTTGTGTCAGACAAATGTGGCCCCTTACACTGGTATAGACACTTCTATTTTTAGCTGGCAGAAGAGCACAGTGGATACGGAAGCACCATCTTCAGCGTGAGGAAGACCTGGGTGCNACAGCCCCTTACACTGGTATAGACACTTCTATTTTTAGCTGGCAGAAGAGCACAGTGGATACGGAAGCACCATCTTCAGCGTGAGGAAGACCTGGGTGCGAATCTCAGCTCTGTCCTCTTACCAGTTTGCACGTTAGTTAATCTCTCTAAGCCTTCATTTTTCCTCTCTCTCTAAAAATAAATAAAAGAATGTTATTAAAATAATAATAATTTTTCATCTTTCTCATTGATGTTTAACAATTAACTGACAGAAAGACCTAGCATATAGTGAGTCACATAAATGGTACCTACTGTGAAGCTGAACAGCTTCTGTTGTGTTGAGCTATGCTCTAAAGGGGGGGGCGGGGGGAAGCACACTTCCTCAATGTCAAGATCTTGTCAAGTTGCTAAGAGGAAAGAATGACAGTCATGTTGATAAATAGCCTGGTGCCTGGTGCTCAGCTCCTCCGAGAATGCATGCATTATCTCCTTTGTCCTTGCAACAAGGTTAGAGCTATATGGCTGTGATTCAGCTCACCACAGGGCATCTGAGACCCTGTCTACTGGTCCACTAAATAAGAGCAAACCTCTGTGGCCCCCATGGCATCCCCCACAGTGGGCTTCACAGATGTACAGCAGCCAACCTCAGGCATCACAGGCCACCCTGAAGGTCATTTCCAGGAGTCCCACAGCAACAAGTTCATTCCTACCAGTTTGGGAGAGGTCAGCTGAGTGCCCGCTCACCGTAGATCACCCCAAATGGGTGCCATGTTCCACACACTTGATATGCAACAAGTATTTTCTGATTGATGCCAGTGACTAAAAACGGCCTTGTGCTTACATGCCTCTTGGAATGTAAAGTTATGTTTGCTGCTCTTTCAATTCCTCAGCTCATCTGAATATTCAAAAAGAGCCCAGCAATCATCTGCTGAATGAATTAAAAATGTGTATCTCCGTGCTAATCACAATTCTCACCACAGACTAGAGCTGTGTTTCGGGAGAGCAGATTATGTACCCTGTAAAATTCAATGGCTGAATTGTTTAGCAAATGTAAAATAGATAAGAAGACTGCAAATATTTTGGATTTCTTAAAAATGACTAAGTAAAGGTCATGTTACAGGATACTAGATTCTGGTCCTACTTGCTTTATAAATTATATTAATATTTAAAAGTCTTTAGGAGAAACTGTTTCCCCTACATCCTAAATAAAAGCTGTCTGGTCAGCTCAGTTGGCAGCAAGAATTTGTATAATGAAACGTTTGAGCAGCAGAAAGAGGCTCTCTGTGCTGTGCCCATCTCAGAAAACAAACGCAACAGACAGCGCTGCTCAGCCAAGACACTTCAAGGAGCACCGGAGAGGCCAGGCACTGATGCAAACTAAAACATGAAATACATGTTTTTCAGGGGGTTTCCAAACGCTTTGTTTTGTTTCAGTATCTCAAAAATACTTTAGAAGTAAGTGGATATAATGACAGTTTGTTGCATATTATCCAGTTCCTCTTTAAAAACAGCTCGCTGTAACACTTTGTTGCTCCTTCAAACAGTAAGAACAAAGTATTCCCTTCCTACTCCTACCCACCGACCTGCGGCAAACATCAGGCAACCTTAATCAGATTTCCAAATACGCACGGGCTTTTAACGTATTCAAGAACACAACCGCATTCTTTAAAATTAAAGTTAAAATCTGACTGTCAGAACAAGTATGAGAATACTCTGTTGGCAGGCACGTATCATTCTGTGGAGGGCAACCTGGCAAAACTAAAACCTATACTTGCACCATTTCTAGATTCCATTTCTACAAAGTTGCCCTAAAGACCCACCACACACCAGCACGTGTACACATGCCATTTCACCAAAGCTCTTTATCATATCATAAGAATGGAAACAACCAAAATATCCACCAACCAGGGACTGGATAAATAAATTATACCTATAATACAGAATACTGTGGAGTCACTAAAAACAATGAGGCAGTTCTATGCATAATAAAATGAACCAAGATCCACATAGTTAGGTGAAAATCCTACACTAAGTTTTTGTGGGGATTTTTAAAGCAAGGTATAGAGTATGCTACTGATTATACATAGAAATGATAAGGACAAAGAAATGCTCACCATATAATATTAGTAGTTAATCTTTGTTGAATGTATTCTGCGTGCCAAGAATTGCTCTTAGCACTTCATATGAATCATCTCATTAGTTCTTCTCAGCAACTCTGAAATACACCCATTTTACAGATAAGGTCACAGAGCTAGTGGCCAAGGTTCAAACTCTTTCTGGCCCCAGAGCTCACCCCCTTGGCCACACTATAGTGAACTTTCTAATCCATACACTGTCTCTGAAAGTGATCATAAGAACTGGTATGAAGAGTGGTCCCCAGGGAGGGACCTGCCTGGCTAGAGGGTGGGGATGGGAAGGAGGTTAACTTTTCACTGAACCTTCTGAATTCTGTACATGTGTGTGACCTGCTCAAAAATAAATAAACATATGTAACAATTTTTTTACTCTCCCTGCTTGGATTAATCGCCAAGAAGGACAATATGAATCACTGTTATGAATGACATACATTTTGGAAGAAATACAGTTTTATTCATATGTTTACTTGTTTTCAAGGACTTGAAAAAATGGGAACTAAAACTTCATCCAGTACAGAATTCAAGCGACTCCCAAGATAATCCAAGGGGAATGATAAAATATGCATACCAAGAAACAGCATTAAGTCGACTGCTACAGGTGAGGGCCAAGGAGGTTCACTTACAAGAGATTATCCCAGACTTGCATCAAACACAGAAGTCTTCAGACTTTGTTATTTCTACATAAAGGGAGAAAGTAAATGCATTCCGGGTAGCAGAAAGAACAAAAGCATACTTGATCTATCTCTTAATTATGATCTATCCCTAACAGTCACAGAGAAAAACAGCCATTTTTTCTCATACACAAAACATTCATCATAAAACCTAAAACCACGCCATCGTAACATATAAAAGGTATAAAAGGCCTGTGAGGTAGGGCCCCGTGTTTTGTGTGTTTATCTGAAATACAAGGTCAACCCCCAGAGCAGTGCTGCTCACACCTGAATGGGTACACCCACCACAGGGACCTTGTGAAAATGCAGATTCCGGTCGGTTAGCCGGGGCGGGACCCGAGACTCTGCATTCCTAACGAGCCCCCAAACAATGCCTGTGCTGCCGGTGGGCAGGCAGCCTTTGAGTAGCAAGGTGCCAGACAATACGTGTCAGTGAATCCAACTGCAATCTGGTAAATTAAGTTGTAGCAGTAAATTGCAACTATTAAAAATCTTAGCCCCTTCAGAAGCTTCTGAAAATTCGGGGAAGAGATAGATCTGAATAGATTTGTATTTTCTCTTGAAAACTGAGCAGCACGACATAAAGAGGGAGGTTGTGCCTGTAAATTCACTGCTTTCAAATTTGGTCAGTAATTCAAAGTGGATTTCAGGAGAGGATCTGGTTTCAAGAGTGGGTGAGAGGGGCTAGTAATTAGCACACCGTGTTTTACATTACGTGAGCAATTTCGAAGCACTTAAATTTTTTCAGCTTAATGACAATTCATCCGAGGAGCACCAACAAGTCCCAGCAATTGTGGAACACAAGGTGCTGATGACAAGAGCAAAGTGGTCCCTGTCCTCCGGCAGGTGAGATGCGGAGACAGCACAGAAGCCCCTGGCACGGGAGGGGTCTCTCAGGGGAGGGGTCTCTCACAGGAGACGGAGGATACAGGGAAATGTGTGCATGGGATGCAAACAATACACTTAAATTGCTGAGGAAACTCAAAGCAGAGAAGCAAAACCACCGGGGAAAGGAATACATATGAGGTGGTTTGGGTAATGATTTCAGAGAGGAAGTGAGTATTGGCTTCTTAGAAACGGTGAAGAAAAGCAACCCAAGTAAAGCAGAAAAGAGCAGCACACGGAGGTCATGGGACGCACAGGGCCCGGGGGGTGCCGTGGGGGCGCCCCCATCTAGCACACACCTCTTCAGGAAGAACTGAGACGAGGTAGTGTTCCCAGGGTGGGGTCAGGGTAGGTTTAAATTCGACCTAATCTACGATAACTGTTGGAAGTTCCTGACTCAGGAGTTACCAGATAATTCTAAGAGTGCGCAGCATCTGGAGAAGGCCGGGTAACACGGGGCGAAGTGGTCTCAGAGACGGCGGAGGGAGGGAAGGTCCTCTGAAGTCAATATTCTCTCTGGGCCTCGGCTTTACCAACTGTACAGAAGTCAGCAAACTTTCCTGAAAAGGGCCAGACAGTGAATATTTCAGGCTTTGCTGCTGCATGCAAAAGCAGCCATAGGCGATACGTAAAGGAATGAACTGGAACATGGCCAGGTTTCAGTAAAACTTTATGTTACAGAACAGGCTGCAGGTGGGCTGGATCTGCCAAGGCCCTGGATTGTAAAATGGGGGTGATAATAACTTTCCTAATGTTCAATATTTCTGGGTCAAGATCAGGAGGGGAGGTTGATATAACTGATGAGTGACACTGAATTCAATTCAAATATTCATCAACTATAACTATCTACCTAGATCTAGAAAGATTTGCTCCCTCTCAGCTTTACCGCCATCCCTCCTAATTCACGGGTTGAAGCATCTCCTCTCATCCACCTACCTCTCTGGGGCCTCTCTCCTTAAATTTCCTCCTGTCTAGTACCTTCAACCTCCCTCTCTCTGTTGCTTCTCTCCATCAGCATACAAATAGCATCAATCTATCCAGTCCCCCGAAATAATAAACCCTACTTCTTCGGCCATCTCCCTTTATATCTCCCACATCACATCCCTTTATATCCCTTTATAGCTCCCTCTGTTCACAGTCAACTTCGGGAAACAGCAACTGTACCAGCTTTCCCCACTCTCCGCATATCCATTTAAAACCCCTGTGTTAATTGGATTTTTGACCCCACTACTTTTCCGTAAGAGTCTTTGCCAAAATCAATAGGCACCTCTCAGTGGCTGACTCACCTGGTCCCTCTCTAGCGGCGGAGACTGACAGTCACTCCTTCCTTCACTCTCCCCCCACCCGGCTTAGGGAGGGCTCCAGCTTCCACCGCCTGTGGCCCTGGCCTTCAGGGGGCTCCCCAAGCTCCCCTCCTCTTCGCTCAGGTACTTCCATTCACCAGGGCTCTTCTCTGAACCGCCTCTCTATGTAATAATTTATGCAATATAGCTTTGAGAGTCATAAGCTTGTTATTTTCATTAAAGCCATGGAAGTGAATTATGAACTGATGCAAACGGAACCTGTCCCCTTCTCTTCAGACCCGCTGCACCCTCCCAGCTTCGCCGGCCCCCCAGTGGAACCAGCACCCACCTAGTCACCCAACCCAGAACACTTCTGCTCTCTATTTCTCTTCTCCTTCGACCCACATTCCCAGCCGGTGGTCATCTCCTGTCGGTGTTCATTTCCCACATGTTGCCCAGTGGCTCCAATGAAGACTTCTCCGTGTGACTAGGACCTGAGCTCTGGGCGGCGTTGACACTGCTGAGCGCTCCCGCAGGGGGCAACCCTCCCTCTCTGGCTCAGGGGTGCCGCACCCCTGCCTCTTTGGGCACTTGCTATCGCTACCCACGGAGGCTCCTTTTTCAGGGCCTGTTGTGTGCCTCAGACTCTCCCCCATGGTTCAACCCCTGACTCTGAGTCCCGTCCATCCACAGCCTTCAGCACGAAGTCCGAATCTTGAGCCATCCAATCCTCCTGGGCCCTGCATCCAGCTACTGGCCCACGTGTCCACTTAGCTACCATAAAGTGCACCCGGCATGCCCCCACCCCCCTTCCTCCAGCAGAACCCCTCTTCCCGGTAAGGAAGCCGTCCTAGGTGTCCCCCACCAAAGGCAGGGGCCAGTCAGAGCCCTGCACCCCTCGGTGTGCCCGCTGCACAACAGTGCCTTGTTCCACAACCGCTGAAAAACACACCTAGTGCCTACTTTTGGAGTGCTTCAGAGCCACACTGGGATGCAAACATGAGTCATCAAGTCAGTACCAGTCATGGAGCATAATATTTTCCAGCTGTTTCTCCAAATGCAAAATAAACAAGAACTACAAATAATCACTTTCCTACAAGGTCATGTCCTGTAAATATCATGATGAGCTTTAAATTTCAAACGGGAGGGAAGAGGTTTAAACATGTTTAATGTTTAACATTTAAAATCTGACCAGATCATACTGTGAAGCTAACTCTGTGAATGTGTGAGGTACCAGGAGAGCAGAGCTTTTGGTCTGGGGAACCTTGATCCAAATCACAATAGCCCCGTCCCTTACGGCTGAGTGACCAGGGCAAGTTATTTCTGCCTCAGTTTCCCCATCTTGAAAATGAAAATCTTAAGGGGTCTTTAAAGATTTAGATCAGATAATTTATAAAATGTGCCCAGTGCAAAGAAAATTTCCCAAAAGTATCAGATAAAGTAACAATTTTCAATGGTTTTCATCTCATGGCACACATAAATTAATTAATAAAATTCTGCACCACACCAAAAAGTATATATTTTGCCGATATAACCAAAAAAAAAAAAAGTTATAATTTTGATTCATTCACACCAGATGGCTATTGTGTTGGCTGTTGTCATTTTTTAATTTGACAGTCTAAGGGACAAGAAGCCAGTGCCCCTGACTAAGCAGCCAGGTACTGCGTGTTTTAAAAATTCTTGAGGCACACTGGTTGAAAACCACTGAGATTAAGCAAACTCGAGATTTAAAAGGAAGCATTTTTTCCAACTTCTACTGAAACATAACTTTTTAAAAGTTCAAAAATCACCTCATGCTGGAAAAGAACTGGAAAGGAAGAGAAATTATGACATGCATTCACTCACTTAACAAACTAAGTAATAATCAAATAAATTGTAGGGCAGTGATTTCTGTGGAACGGTATGCCCTAATCTCTCTCTTTGAAAAAAACAATGATTGGTAAAATCATTTTCCTGAAAGAGTACATAGATTTTCCTCTGTAACAGACATCTCTGTTCTATTGTGAGCAGACAGAAGTTCTGCCAAAGCACTCTAAACTTCAAACATTGAGACAACGCAAAAAAAAAAAAAAAATCTAAGCTCTTTGTAACACAGGACGCCATTCCCCAGAGACTCTTACCCACTTTGACAGCCTTTCTGAGCTATGCATGTGAGATTTAAAGAGTCTTTATGCACCATCCAAATTGCTAGCCTTTTGTAATCCTCTGTTTAGTTGGTTCGCATCCTGTTATTTAATTAAATTCTTTCCTTTAATTATTGAACAAAAATATTCTAACTATCTGCTGAAGGCCTTCCACTGAGTACGACGGAACTTAGAAATATGAGTAAAACATGCAGTTCTCAGTCTGGTGATGGAGATAATATGGAAAGAGAGTAACAAAAATTAATAAATTTAAGATACATGCACCCGAGCTGTCATGGTCATTCAGGCAAGAAGATGCCATTCAGATGAGAGCGGGGAAACTGGGGAAGTCTTCTCTTCTCAGGGGTGGAATACTTGAGTGAGGCACTGAAGGCCGGGCAGGACCTGATGGACAGAATGAGGTGGCGGACATTTCAAGCGGGGGTGAGGGTGACTTGTGAGTCACACAACTCCAAGAACATTATTCACATCACAGTCATTTTGGATTTTAATGTTATTATGAAAATTTTCTGACCAATACCAATAAAGTATCTTGAGAAAGAAGTGGCTTTTTCTAATTTACACAATGTCACAATATCAACAAGCATTATGGATGCCTCCTAGGGACTATAAGAAAATCTGACTGTCTCAAACTCTATAAATATGTGAAGGAAAAAAACTCCCCTGAAAACCTGTCATCAAAAACCAGCCCTCACGCAGGACCTCCAGTCCAAATTCACAGTGCCTGGGTGGCCTAGAAAACCTCAAGCCAAAAATTTGTTTTAAGGTGGTCCCAGGTGGTAGAAACCCAATAAATCTGGCAGCAGCAAACATAAATTCTCTAGAGGAACCCACTTTCAATCTAGACCTCCAAGAAGCCCCACAGATAAATATTCAAAAAACTAAGTTTACACTTAAAAGTCACAAATATACAGGAGCAAGAACCAGCAGAACACCTCTCCTCCCAAAAAAAACAAACAAACAAAAAAAGATCAGCAAAGATTTCAGATACTGGAATTATCAAACACAAAATATAAAACAATTATGTTTAAAGAAATAAAAAGCAGCAATTGATAAAATGGGTATGAAACAAGAAACTATTAAAAATAAGCAGATTTAGCCCTGGCTGGTGTGGCTCAGCTGGTGGAGCATCGTCCTGTACACTGAAAGGTCACCAGTTCCATCCCCAGTCAGGGCACATGCCCAGGTGTGGGCTCGATCCCCAGTCGGTTGGAGTGTGTGCGGGAAGCAGCCGATTCACACAGATGTCTCTCTCTCTCCACCCCCTTCTTTAACTTCAACTTAAAAAACATATTTTAAAAAAAGAGAAAAAGCAGATTTTTTAAATAACTAAATAGAACTTTTAGAAATAAAAGCATGTAAAATAAGTGACATTTAAAACACGAAGGATATGTTTACTAGCAAACTAGATACTGAGGAAGAGATATTTTGTGAACCTAAAGGTAAAGCTGAATAAATTATTGAGAATATAGCAGAGAAGGGCATAAATGGTATATTTAGTGAGAGTTAAAAGATGAGAATGTTGGAGCTGTCTGACAGATCCAGTTAGATTTCCATGAGGAAAGAAAGATAATGCATAGAGGCAATATATGAAGAGATAAGGGCTGGGCGTTTTCTAGAACTGATGAAAAACACCCATCCAAAGATACAGAAGATCCACTAAGTCCAGAACAGATTCATGAAAAGACATCCACACCTAATAGAGCATAGAGATGCTACAGAACACCAAAGACAAAGAGATCTTAAAAGGGGCCAGAGTAAAAGCAGGTTACCTTCAAAGAAGCGACGATGAGCTGGTTTCTCAAGAGCTACAAGGCAAGTCAAAAACAAGTGAATAATGCTTGTCGTGTGTTGAGGGAAAAACAAATGTCAATCTAGTTTTAATACAGGCTAAGGAGACATCTTAATAACAACAGCAAAATAAACACATCGTGGAAAGAATACTTTAGACAGAGGGAACAGGAAAGAGTATTTTTGACAGAGGGAACAGAAAGTATAAACAT